CCCGCCAGCCGCACCTCGATGTTGGGCAGGTCGCGCCAATCGGAACCGGGGGCCAAGGGGATGTGTCTCATGCGGGCTGCGACCAGGGCGCTCATGTCCTGCCGAGGATAAGCGTCACCGTCACCATGACAGGGGACGCAGAGGGACACCGGCCACCCCACGAGCCCCGGTCCTCTCTCCAGAGAGGGCTCGGGGAGAGGGACAGGTCCCAGCAGCTCCACCAGCCTCATCCTTGGGAAAGTTAAGCAGGGAGGGATTGGGGATGATCCCTCTCAGCCCACCTCACATCCAACCTACCCTTGACCCCCATCTCTGTTTGGGTCTGGAGGGTCCAAGTGCAGCCTGGCCCCCCAGTGAGACCCCAGCATCCGCACCTTGCAGATATGATCCCTGAGGATGGGCTGATACTGGGAGCCCCGGATCTGCCGCTGGAACCAGGACTGGGGCTCCCCGTTGTAAGAGATCTCCAAGGCGGAGGCACCGTTCCTGATCTCCGGCAGGTCGGACATAGTGTCCCGCACGGTGATGGTGCGGAAGGGGCCGGAATATGTCCTGGGAGGAAGGAGGGAGCCGTGAGCAGCCAAGACTTCGCCCTCGCCAGCCCCGGCCCGGCTCCAAAGGCTCACCGGGTGATATTGCTAACGAATTTCTTGTCGTCCACCACGACGCTGAGCTGACAGGCACGAGGAGCGAAGACGTGCAAAGGCTCGGGGAACATGGGCAGCTTCTCGCCGGGAGCCGCCGCAAGGACGATGGCTCGCCGCCGCGTCTGCGCCACACCGTACTGACCAGCCTGGGGAAGGAAGGGAATTCCTGAAGGAGCTGGAGCATCCCCCCGCCGTCCACTCTGTGCCCTCAAAAGGCTGGGAACATCCCCCAAACCAAAGCCGAGCAACGCAGCCAACTGCTCCTTTGGAGGAGACGGTCCACAGCGGAGCTGGATGCGAGGAAAAGGGTTTTCATCCCGGTTAAGCGTCTCGGGGTCACCCAACCACCCTACCTGCAGGACCCCAAAGGTGCACTGGTAACCCATACGGACGAGGCAGCGCAAG